TCTCTGTCTCCATTTGTTAACGGCTGTCGGTGCATCCGCCAGGTGCCGGCTTCAACTCCCTCCCTCCTGATCCCGTCCATTATTCTCCCCTCGCATCCCTTCGTTACCCGGGGAACACGTGCAAAAGTAGCCCGTAAAATGTGGGTCAACGTGCCCCGCAGGGTTATTACATAAAAAACCTGAATGCAAAAAAAAAACAGGACGAAATGTCAACTGGCTGACTAGATAGTTTCAGTGGGCAAATAGTTCATTCCACGTTGCTCGCATGAGCATTGTGAGTGTCACCAAAAGCGTCATATATGGAGGAATCACTCAATGACCATGCTTCAAGTCAGTTCGGGTCTAAAAACCAGCACGAATGACGAAGGTAGCACGGCTCCTTTCTCGCTGCCCTGCCTAACGGTTACGGCAACATTTGATTTTCAAATCCGAGTTCTGCCACCGGACTCCTTGTACTTGACATGCTCAAAATAAACTTCTATAGAATTTGAATGACTGGAAATAAAAAATAATATAAAATGTGATAACTTTTTCACGTTTCATAAATCTTTATGTTTGTTGCATATTTTCTCACCTGTTAGTTGCGATATACTTCACCAACCATGGATTTTATTTTATATCACTTAGCAAATTTGCATATGTAATTGAATAAGAAAAAGTGGATGCGCAACGAATTTCTAGCTTTGCGTACATCTCAAGTAAGTGTATTTGAGACAAGAATCCAATTGAATTATCATCATTCATATTATTAGCACACAAATCCTCACTATGCACCTATGCATTGCCGTTACATCACATCAGATCCAAACATTGATAACTGAAGCCTTATGACGTTTAGGCAACACGTACAACTACAAAACGAGTTTACAATGTGTCCATCAGCTAATGCTAAGTTAACATCTTGTAGAAAAACCTACATAACGTCACAAAAAGCCAATACAATGTAAAAAAATCGACATAATGTCACTTTTCAAGATACGTAATACCCGTGCGGTAATCATTGGTCCCTCTATAACTTGGAAAGTACTGCTCCGCTTTAAATGAAAATTTCACACAATGTTACTACAGGGTCTATTGTAAAAGTAATGCGCATTTTCTAGAAAAAATAATTTTTTACTTCGTGATTAAAATTCTTCAAAGTACTCTTCTCGTGCATCTATACTTTTGCGGTGATGTGTTTGCCACACCTGAAAGGTACCCTGACACACGTCTTCTCAGGTACACGATAACACTTTTTGGGGGTTCCTCTTTGAGCTCTCTCCTGAGCCGGGAAACAAAAAAAAGTCGCAGTGAACCAAGCCGTGACCATTATGGAGGTTGGGGGACTACCGGGGTATTGCTGTGGGCCAGGAACTTGGTAACGTTGAAGGCGGTGTGCCCGGTGGCATTGTTATGGTCGAGCTAGACCGTGTCTCTAATGTCAGTCCTCACGCGCGGAATGCGGCGTTTCAATCTCTTGAGCACCTTTAGATAAAAGGCTGAGTTGATTGTCCGTTACAAACTCATAATGGACTATTCATTGGCTGTTGTTGTGCGTCCAGAACGGGTATCGTCGGCAATCCTCTCCAGGACCGTGACCTTAAAATGCAACGCCTCTTGAAGCATCTGGAATGTTTCGGTTGCATACTTTGCAAGCTTTGCGCAAAACTTCATGGCTTACAAAAACAGAAAACACACGTGGATTCACGTCTTTCCGCTCACACTACTCGGAGCAAACTGACGACTGAGGACCTGCGTTGTAAGTGGAGAAATCGTATTTTTGACATTTCAGCGGATCCTGATCATTTTTGCAAACAATTTTTTTGGTTGTAGGGGTGGGGAAGGTATATCTCAATTTTTTTTATGATAGTATATTTATACGTTTCTAACCCCGGCCCGTGGCACTCGTTTCATTCGGTATGTCTGTTGTTGTGTCGTGTTATCCTTGGCCTCTTTATAACTTGGAAAGTACTGCTGGCGACCGAAAAAAGGCCAAAAAAGAAAAGAAAAACAAATATTGCTCAAACGTCGAGTCCTCTTCATTTAGGAAAAACATTTTTGGGTAAAAAAATCAGGGGATGGAGGGTTGTAGGGATGCCGGGAAGGATATATCTCAATTTTTGGATGTTTCTATATTTATATGCTCTCAACCTCGGTAATTCGACGCACCTATTAGCCATATTTCACATATCATAGGTTTACCCCTACATTTGTGTTTAAAACTTGAAATTACTGAGAAATGTTTTTGATGCGTGCCTCCTGCTATCTGGACTCATGCCCGGCGTAACGGTATGCTTGATTGTTCTGCTTGTACTGCGGTGGTGCTTCAGTGGGCGCTGCCACGTATGACGATATGGGAAGGGACAGCGTTGCCAGATGAACTGGAACTAGGGCATGGAAAGAATGTCTAAGCACTAGTTGTATGGACTTTGGAGATTTCGATTCATTAGAGTGCATCTGCTGCTATTCGGATTGAGACTAGAAATAGTGGATGGTCATCCGCCAAACACCTTCCGCAGTGACCTTCCCGCTGCAGCTCTAAGTAATGCATTTTTGTCCGGAATGTTTGCCATGCTACGTCACCTTTTTTACCATTCATAATACAACAGAAAGAGAGAGATGGAAAAATATAACGAAACTGCAGGCGGCCGTCGCCAATATTACTTTGGCGTCGTGCCAGCACTGGCAACGCCGTGACGCAATTTTCGTATACGTTTGAATGTGCCTGCCGAATTTGCGAATATTGTAAGTTCGTCTACGAGAGAAACATATTGTCGAAAAATAAGATTTGATATAGACGGATTTCAAATGTATGGTTTCTACAACTTATTTTTAAGTCAAACTGCACATACAGTGCAATAGATAAGTATAGTATTTCCGTCCCTAATCGAAATAGCAAAAAACTAGCATCTCGCTTTATACTGATAAATATAGTGAGTAATTTTTAGCAATTTTTCGTGGTCACTTTTGCTTCAAATTTTTTTAACCGATAGCTCTAGGTTGGTCCGTTGCTGAGATATAGCCGGTGGCTTTTAGTATTAGGTCGTACTGTATATGTGATTAAATCATCAAATTCTCATTTTCGAAATTATTGGCCATTCCAATACTTCACCACCGCTTACGAAGTTTCGTATAGTCAAAAATACTGCTAGTTTGACTTGCATATACTTAATAGTATAACTGATATCTTTTCCAAATCTGAAAAAATCATTCATGTGTTAGGTGCTGTAGGCGACTGCCCTCGCGCGTCGAGGGTCGGTTGTGACGTCACATGACATAAGTTCGGCTTCTGGGCCACGGCAGTGACGCGGCCGGACGACACGACGGTCCTTGCATATCACATTCATCCTTATCGCTCAAGCTGACCAGTCGCAATATATTGTTTATATGTTGGCATACAATAAATATATTGGAAGAAGAAGAATATACTATGCGAAACATTTATACTTTATTGCGCATTAACACTTATAATTTTTCAGACCGCTGATAACGAATATAATATTCATTCGCCAAATATCAAAATGGCGGATTTAATATGGTATGCATCTTTGCAAATGCTTGAGGGCAAATTTGAGTTTTAAGGGTCGCCAATAACAAACTTGATATCGAATGTTTGAAAGTGATACTAATATGGCGGCTATGTTTGCAAACAAAAAATTGAGAGCTCTCAAAATTAGGTTCAAGTGTTTTTAATTTCGCTAAAAATCAAAATGGCGGATCCAGTATTACAGTGTTATTTGTTTTTATGATATAATTTACGTATTATTGTTTGCAGCCAATATTGACATATTTCTTAACTGGGTGTCTGATAAACATGCTAGTATTCGAAATAGAGCGAACTTTAACGGGCTTTTTTAAACTCTTTTTGAATTCACTAATTACTGAAAAAATATCAATTTCATATTGTTATCATAAAATGTCATGTATCGATTGTCGAGTAATCTAATGCTATATCTTACGAAGTCTGTAAATTAAGTGATGAGACTGGTTTTTTAATTTTTTTTATTCAAATATAATTACAATTTTATATTGTCACCCTCAAAATAACTTCCTTCTGAAGCGACACCGCTGGAGACAATTCTTCCACTCATCATAGCAGTGATGAAACTCCGATATTGGAGCGAGTTCAAACTTGTACTGAAGGCAGATCACATGTTTCCCTGTCTCACTCCAAGCCCAGCGCCTTCAGTGTTGCCAGATCGAACGCTGCGTTGTCAGTCCCATCTCGTAATTTACAAACCTCATAATGAATATACATACCTTCAACTTCCCAATCCATTTTTCCACATCTCAATACGGCTGATTATTTTGAAACGCAACACTATTCGATTATATAATTTTTTGCACTTTTGGGCAAATTCTTTTGGTTCCTGAACCGCGTGTATGCATCTCCACGTCGACATAAAACAGGTCCAAGGAGTATTCCCCCTCCAGTCACAACACGATCACAAACAATATTCACATTATCTCGAAATAAAAGCAATAATCAAATCTATCCTCCTTCTCGTTTACACCAATTAGGTTATTTATCCATCATAATAATCTCATACACGAATATTTATTTTGATCCTTTTTACCATATTAACTGCATATCTACTAACATCAAAATATTTTTACCCCTAGGTATAATACAATATTTGTAAGCCGCTAGTCTAGCCACTTTTTACAGTAAATCGTAAATTCGGGACAGACCAACGTTTGAAATTGCCGCGAAGTGTGCGCATCGCTTTGTGGTAGCGTGTGGCGTCATCACTCAGTCTCGCGCTCCAACAGGATAGTCCTCCAGATAAGAAATTCTGGATAACCTTGTCATTTTTTAAGATATCCTAAAAATGTTTTCAGTGCTGTACTTCACTATAATGAGTCTATCATTTCAAGTGTGACTTCCTCATTAAGGTGGGAAGTAAGAAGTTTCTATCAAAATAAGTCGGCTATAGCCAATAACAGATGTATATGAGAAACGTGTTGTCGGTCGGCCTGAGAACAGGAACAGACCAGCAGACGTGTTGTACTATTTTCGCGATATGTCATTTATTCGAGCAGTGTGTCGTGCCTCCCGTTGCCCGTACGAACTACGAACACATTGGGTTCCCATCCACGTCGTCCAGGTTTATTTTAGCTTACACGGACGGACATCTGATGTGAGTAATGGCGAACAGTTTTACCATTTCAAAATGTCCAGGTCCAACGTTTTTGGCGGTTACTTCATTATTGTGCTTGTTGGAAGACTGTATTCATTTGTGAGGAGATATTTTTGTAAGGAATTGAATATTTTTGAATTGACAACTCGATCTATATTAGCAACGGCTCAGTTCAGTAAAACTTTTTTTCACCTTAGGAAAAGGCCCCTTCTGTAGCGAAATTGATGTGACTAACTGACTTTGCTTATCTGATTTTTGACTCCTCTGAAGCTTAACGTTTTCTTGATTAACAGGAAAGGAAAATCATTTTTTACAAACTTTTGTTTACCTTGACCTGTTGTTAGTATGCATCTGTGGGACAAATCTTGGAACTGAATTTTGAACCAGTTAACCTTAACCACGTTTGGTTCGCGTGACAATATAAAATGAATTCACTGCCGCCATTTTGAATCCAATATGGCGGATGCTACAAAATGGCGTTTCATCATTTTCGTAGTAGTTCGTATGATATGGGTAGCAAATGAAGAGCTCTACGAAGAAAACACAACAAGCAAAGTGACGTCATGCTACATCCAATACGGTAGCCGCCGCAAAATCGCCATTTACATTTTTCATATGCACCCCTATTATATGGGTATTAAGTGAAAGACCTTGATGAGAAAATCGCAATAAGTAAAGTGACGTCATTCTAAATTTAATGTGGCGGCCACCCCAAAATGGCTATTTATAATTTCCACCTCTATACTATGGCACCAAATAAGGATATATATAATAAGCAAAGTGACGTCATTCTAAATCCAGTAGAGCGACCGACGATAAATGGCGATTTATAATTTCTATAGTCCTCGCGATTATATGGGCATCAAATGTAAAGGCTTAATGAGAGAAATACAATATGCCAATTACGCATTTTAAATTCATATGGCGATCCCCGCAAAATATCGATTTATGATTATATGATTTATCTCTGTCGAAATTTTATGACACAAATAAAGCAAAAAGCTTTATGGAGTCCTATTAATGAAATATATGAAAATTATATAAAAAAAGTTATTTGACATCATAAATACTAAGAAGTAAAAAATAAATAATGTAAAAACTAAATTACTAAAATATTTTTTTCAGATTGAAAATATTTAGACAATAATGAAGCTCCTGTATCTCAAGTTTGCAAATAAAAGCGTGTTACATTTTGTCAGCAGGATAGAAAACAAGTGTGACACGCTTTTATTTGAAAACTTGAGATGAAGGAGCTTCATTATCCTTTAAATATTTCCAGTCGAAAAGATTATTTTTAAATTTATAGTTCACTATAGTTCACAGCTGTATAAAAGCTTGTTTTTAAAAACGTATTTATTCATTGACTATGAGTAGCTACCTTTTTATAAACGGGTAACTGAGTTTGTTTTGCTTGTATACAGTCCATTTACAGCAGGTATAGCACTATGTCGCACTGTTTTGCAGATGAAATCCTTCAAGTGTATTAAAATTTTCAGTCTTCAACCCAAAAAAACTTATACAACAAGCGGTTCATCACTTTCCACCCTACTGCCTTGGAAATGCAAAATACTTTTACTTTGAATGCGATGTCTCGTTATCGATTTTGGCGTTTCTACACACTGATGATGGTAAGGTCGATCAAATGGCCCGTGGCGGCACGTGGGTAGCCTTAAAGGAACATCCTTCCGACTGTCTAAATGTCACATGGACATGGCGGTCGATGGTATTCGAGTTTCATTAGAAGTACAGTATAAATAAAATAAAAAAATACATTTTAAAAAAACAGGGTTTTATTTAGCTGGTCATTAGACGATCAAAAAATTTAAAAATAACGTTTCCGGTAGGAAATATTTAAACATTGATGAAGCTTCAAGTTTTCCGGACTGAATTGTTCGTATTTTGGGTCGTTAAATCTCAAACCGAAGCCATTTCACATGTACCTGTTCCCGTTTATCATGTACATTCAATTATTTAGCGAAAAACTCCAAACTCGGTGGCTATTGGGAACGATTCTCGGCATATTAAACGCCAAATTACGGATAAAAAATTTGTAAAAAAATAGTTACTCTGGACCACCCCTGAGTCCTGGCACCAAGTTATAATCGAATTCGGAATCTACGCACCCGATCACAGACGAGCGGCAATTTTTGGTTGTTTTTTGATAGTATGATTCTTGCTAGAATCTCGAAAACGGGGCATTTCCGGACTGAATGTATCCCGAATTCCATTTCAGCCACCCAAAGCATTATAAGCATAGTTGGCCTTACGTTTCCGCCTGACATTTTATTCTCTGTTTGTAACATAATATATACATACATGGTTACTAAGAATTAAAATGCTTTAACATTAAAAAACCAAATCCAAAGTCATTCCACAGGTATGTAATCCCGTTTAGCATGTATATTCCATTATTTAGTGAATAATTGCAAATCTTTGTGACATTTGCGAAAATAAATTTAACTTATCGATGGCTATATGCGAACGTTTCTCTGTACATTTGTATAATTTGAGGTGCTTTGGAATGTCATCCTGAAAAGAGCCTTAAAGACTCATGGTGTCAAATTACGGGTGAAAAATTAGTAAAAAACAGGTTACCCGAGGCCACCCCTGAATACTAGCACTAAATTAAAATCGAATTCGGAATCTACTGATCCGATCATAGACACGCAACATTTTTTTTAGATTTTTTATTTGTCGTTTTTTGATAATTATAATTTCTGCCAGTATCTTGGAGACGGGACATTTCTGGATTGAATGGGTTCCGGATTCAGTTGCAGCCACCCAAAGAACGTATTACAAACACGGTTGGGCTCACGTTCCCGACTGACATATGTTTGGCCCTTTTTGTAACATAATACACATGGACACTATTATTTAATGAAAGATTTCAAAACTGTGCGATATTTGTGACTTTAAGGTGCTAAAATTATCGGTGGCTGTATTCGAACGATACTTTGTACATTCAGGTGATTTGGGGCGCGACATTTGAATATCACAGTGAAAAAAGTGTATGAAAATCACCTAGAAATTATTAAAAAATGTTCAACATGCCAGTTTTCGAATAACAAGTTCCAAATCGGTCTCCCTTTCATGGATTATACGTGTATATTTCTGCTATTTATTAGAAAATCATAGAAATGTTCCAATATCAAGTTGGACGATTTGCTAAAAATGAAATTTAATCACAATTACTAGGAATCTGATATTATCAAAGGGCATTAAATGTGGTAACTGCATTTTTCTGTTTCAGATTAATACATTAACCAGGGCAATCCAACTTCCTAAATGGAATATTCAATACACATGTAAGTTTTATTATATTTTCAATATATTATACGTATCTGGGAAATCGTAATTTATGTTGTCCTTGATTTTACGTAATCATGTAATTTTCCGTTACTTTTTCAAAAATGGCTGCTATACGTTTGTTTTTGTTTTTAGATACCGAATTTTTAGGAGACTAAGTTAACAGAATGCGTTGAAAGGCGGGCTCTATATAAGACGATGGACGCAAAAGAAAGTGATGGTATTACGCTTCCTTCAAGAAGTAGGGTGAGTATACCGAATAGTGTTGATCAAATAGAGGCATGAAAAAACTTTTCTGGCTGGACGCTGTACTTGGACTCCCAAGGTCAAGCTAAGTTAATAAGTACAGTAATAATCCTGAACTTTTTACTTCCTACACCACTGGCGAGGTGGCATTGTAGTAGTAGGCATTGTAGTAGTAGAAAAATGAGAGAATGTGTGGTGGTAGAAGATAAATGCAAAACATGAAAAAGATAAAAATCACCCACACTTCGTTTTTAATATTAATATAAATAATATTATAGTGATAGAATTTTTTAGGCAACCTATTACCGACACTTTTTAAATTATTTTATTTCATAAAAAAATTGCGTCATGTGGGTTGATTCTGCACTTCCCACGAAACGCCGTTATTAGTTCATGAAGGATTATGTTAGGTACAAACTAAACTCTCCAAAAAAAGTTAGTCAAATAGGTCCATACCATCCCCGAAACATAACCCGATCAGACGTGGCACCACATCAGGACTATTATGTTGTGGCGCGGCCTTTTCTCACGAATATCCACGGTAGAATAACAGCTGATTATCTAGTAATATTTCAAAATTCCCCATATCCACAAGTGACACACAGTTCAAGCGGTTCCGTCAACGCCAGGTAGACAGAACCGTATTTTGTTGTTTTTTTGTACGGTACGGATTTATTTTATACTTGCTCACAACTCATTTCTTTAGAAAAGTTCCTTCGCATACACATCAGGACTATTATGTTGTGGCGCGGCCTTTTCTCACGAATATCCACGGTAGAATAACAGCTGATTATCTAGTAATATTTCAAAATTCCCCATATCCACAAGTGACACACAGTTCAAACGGTTCCGTCAACGCGAGGTAGACAGAACCGTATTTTGTTGTTTTTTTTTGTACGGTACGGATTTATTTTATACTTGCTCACAACTCATTTCTTTAGAAAAGTTCCTTCGCATACAAAATGACTGCCAGTGATCATGACTACATTTCAAGTCAGGTAGGAATAAATTTGGATAAAAGGTTTTTGACTGTTAATTACTTCTACTTTTTAGAACTTGAAACACCGTATGATTTTAACGGACAATGAAATAGCCATGTTTGATTTAGGTTAGATTGATGACGGACAATTAACAAGAAACACGTGTCTATATTATTTTTATAAGTAAGGTTACAGCTAATGGAAAGGACAACGCAGTCTGTTCTATTGACTTACCTCTTAGTCAGTAAATCGTAGATGTAGTATAGTCATTTTCAAATGAACATTTTTCGATTTGTACTTTGTATATTTTTGCCCAAAATTCCCGAATCACTAAAATCTAAATACAAGATGGGCCATTTAAAGTGGAAGCATCAAGAAACCCTATATTTTTGACAATAGTTGTCAGATCGACTAATGTCATACCGCGTTGGAAGCGTCATTACAGTACAATTTTAACCATAGAACAGTACACTCCAAAAAAACGCGCTGAAATTATTCAGTTGTACATTCAAAATAACTTCTCAATCGTGGAAACTAAACGTGCATTTCGTAAAAAAGTTAAAAGTGCTCCAACTGATAACACTTTCAGACGTTTATACGAAACATTTGTGAACTCCGGTAGTCTTAGTAATTCCAGTCACCTAACAAGACACTCGATCAACATCCGGTCGTCATCGTTCTCAAGAGTTAGGCATCGCTCGAACCAGTCTCCGACGCATAATTCGTAAGGATTTGAAGATGTTTCCATACAAAATTCAAATGGCTCATCAATTACACCCAGCTGATTATCCGTGTCGCTTTGATTTGACTAAATGGAGCATTGAAATGGCCGAAAATAAAGATGACTTTTGGCGAAAAATCATCATGTCCGACGAGGCACATTTTTCGTTACATGGAGGCGTAAGTAAACAAAATTGTCGGTTTTATGTGACGAAAACCCTCAATTAATCCTCTTATTATGACCAAAAAGTTACTGTTTGGTGCGGTACGTGCGCGAATATGGTCATCGGGCCGTATTTTTTTGAAGACGATGATGGAGCTGCGGTAACCGTCAACGGTGAGCGTTATCGAGCCATGATAACGAATTGTTTGTGAAAATGACCTGGACGATTACTGGTTCCAGCAGGACGGCGTCACATGCCACACAGCTCAAGCAACAATCAATTTATTGCGACCATTGTTCCCCTGACGACTGATATCGAAAAATGGCGATTTTGACTGGCCACCGAGATCACCTGATATGACGCCACCAGAATTTTATTTGTGGGGCTATTTGAAATCCAAGGTATACGCTAGCATGCCAAGAACTCTAACTGCCCTCAAGAACAATATTCGTTAAGAAATTGCGGCCATATCCGCCGAAACAATGGCCAACGTGATGAAAAACGCCGAAAAAAGGGCACATTTGGTTATCAAGGCCAGGGGTGGCCATTTGTGCGATATCATTTTTGAAAAGTAATTACAACAAATTTCCTTGGATCAGTATAAAATACTTTTCAAATGAACAACTAAAAATATTTTTTTTAATGTCTTTTTTATAAGCAAATGCCCCCACTTTAAATGGCCCACCCTGTAAATGCAAAACAGAGCTCTGAATACGGTCCAGAGTTTCAGCATATGTTCATTATTTATTGAATTTTGATAGAAGTATGGAAGTATACGCTGATAAAATGAAGGCAAGCCGAGCCGTACTTTTTTTTAAGTCCTTTTTTTATCATATCAGGGCCCGAACAATATGAACATGTTTACTTAATATTCAGTGATTTTTCTGTGTTGGTTCCATTTATTTCATTGTTGTTTCATTGCATTATCATGCTATGCAACAATGCATTTGAGAGTTGTCGGATAATCGAGTACTGTAATGAGATGTTGTCGAGATGTGGATCCAAGAAGGCCGAAATCGACGAGTTAGAGGTACTGGACGTCAAGCAAGGGCAGTTGTGAACCAGTGGTTTGATGCTGTCGGAAGGGCAATAACAACAATGAGGACAGCTTATCGCCGAATAATATCTTTTGAACTGTTTTCATACCGTCCTCATCTTGAACTACTTCCGACCCCACAGCATCCTCGGCAACGATTGGTATGGAGTAGGGAGAGACTTGAATTTAATATGGAATGGAACTCAGTTGTGTTCAGCGATGTGTCCAGATTCTGCTTTGACATACAATACATGATGGCCGTCAGAGTAAGGACGAGTCGTGGTGAAATACCAATATTCCATCGAATGGCATATTTATCGCACTGTGGGTGTTATGATATGGGTTGCCATTGCTTACGGCAGCAGGTCACAATAACACCTCCAAAAGACATATGTAATTTTCGAAACTTTTCGCTATTACAATACTTCCCCGCCGGTCTTCAGATCATAGCCACAAGTTTAATCTGCGAATAAGTCGCTTCTTGTTGCAACAAATTCAAAATTCGATCGAAAGCGTTCATAACCCCGCGCGACCCTGGCCGTGCACCAACAACGGACGTCATCGCAGTCACTTTTCCGAATCGATTCTTTACCTACCATTGTTGAGGTGTATACTTGATGTTCGTGATTGCAGGCCGTTTTTCGAGAGCAATGCCAAAAGACTGACACACTACCACTGTGCGAATGACGTTCATTCGTTCCTTGCTATGCTGCTCCCGTAATTGCTTTTTTCATTGCGTTTGGGTGGAATTGCTGCATAGGATAGCGTCCAAAAGAGATTTTTGATACAGATAGGGCTGCTACCACCTAAATTGCCGACGCTGGATAAAAGCTCTAAATACCCCAAATTTCCAACCTAGTAATGGTCGGGACTTCCACAAGATGCTCGTTGAGAATCGTGGTTTCAACTTTTTAAGCCATTTCATCATTTGTTGCTGTTTTGGGTCTTATTACTTCCGGGACCCTCTTCTATGGAATCACGCCCTCATCGACACTGTTTGAACCAAAACTTTATTGTGTAATTTGATCGTGCATCATCCCCGTGGACGGTAACCATTCTCTCAAAAATTGCTCTCGGCTGATGACCCTCTTTTGTCAGAAATTTTGTGATACTGCGATACTAATTTTATAAATTGGAAACTAATTATGAAAATTTACTCAAATTTGACATATTATGCTTGTACGTTTTAATTGTTGTTTAATGGCTAGATAGATTTTTTCTAGTGCCTCTCTTATAATTATTGCTTTCCAACCCCGTATCTAGGAAAAACTTTCGCTACAATAGTGCCTAAGATACGTGATATTAAAGATTTGGTATGTTATATAAACCACCATGTCAGAATTCAGAACGTTTTTATTATCCCCTGTCAAACCAAGTGCACTTGACATAAGCCAGTTTCTTGACAGTTCTGTCATTAAATTCGTTTATTTAGGATTATTTTTTAAAACTGCGAGTATTTGCAGATAATTGTGCTGTTAGAGAATTTCACGACCTGGTATTTTTTACACAATTTGCAAACAGCGGCACAAGCCTATTATATTAAAGCTATCACTTTTGTAGGCATCGGTAGACAAATGCGAAAAAGTATGTACTAAAACTACGCAATTTTGTCAATAATGCAATGTAAACGTATAGTCTTGGCTCCTTCTAATCTCTTCGAATTCGTTGGTGAGCACTCGTACGTGTATACGCATGTTTTGTGCCATTAATGCTATTTTACCCGACTGCCTCAGAAGGAGGGATATGTTTTTCACGCGTATGAAATCTCTCCAAATACCTTGTTCCATGGGTTACAAGCCAACCGGTTTGATGGGTTTTAACATATCATCCCTGGATTCGTCTTAGCAGTGCGAGTGATACTGACTATATTAAAATTTTATAAAAGCAAATTGGCAGATTTCCATAAAAACCTACAACCTTGAAATTCCTATTTCACGGGCTACAGCTTAAACGACTTGATGGTGTTTTGACATACCTATAAGGTGTCTCTAGATTTCTCTTAATAGCACAATTGAATCTTCATTCCTTCAGTTACTGCAGACCGGTTGTTTGTATTTTTACTTCCTGTGCGAGGAAGTATTGTAATCGCGAAAAATGAGATGTTTTTTGAATGTCATATGACATGTACATCATGAAAAACCATGTCACTATTTTCCGTCGGTCTGTCTGCAAATCCTAGGTCCTCGGTTTGGGATAAAATTTTTATACAAGGTTACTACTACACTAGTTTTTGAAAATCGGTCCAGTCGCAACGGAGAAAAACGTAAAAATAAAAATCTCCCAAACCTGACCCTGATCCTGATCATTTAAAATTTTTTTTTTATACTCCTACTTCTACTTGAATAATTGAGAAATGTTTTCAATATGCGTCTCCTTCTGCTATCTGGGCTCAGCGTCAGACGTAACGATCTGCTTGTATTGCGGCGATGTTTCGGTGGCCACTGCCGCGTTTGATGATATGGTAAGGGGGAACGTTGCCAGATGGACTGTAACTGCCGGTAGGGCAGGGAAAGAATTTCTGTGGAATAATTGTATGTGCCTCTTTGACTGACTTGATCCGTTTAATTTGTCTTCTGTACGTGTTTGTAACTAATTTTTTTCTCAGAGGGCTTAACTTGTGCTGAACATAATCCTTTATGAACTGATGACGGCACTGCGTAAGAGTTAACCTACTTGACGTCATTTTTTTAAGTGATCAAAAACACAATTTGGTCTAGGTTACAAACCAATATTATATGCTTTGTGTATCTTCGATCATTTCAAGGATCGATAGATTTGTTGCTGACCTAATCGGTGAGTGGTAATCCAATTTACTAAAGGCCAACCTTTCGTTTGCAAGATGATAACAATATCTCGTTGTCTGATTCGCGGTTCGCCTTCTTGTGTCCGTCGCACGTCATCGGCCAATTTAGAGTTTGATTTGTTGGGTCATTAAGGGCATTTGCAGAGTTAAAATAACTCGATCGAAGGACTTTTCCAAGAAAAGCGGGCTAATGATGTGAAAGCCAATGCAGCCTGTAGCTATTGCGAAAAGAGAAAAAACAAGTTCGTTGTTTGACGTTTCAGCGTTTCCAAATAATTTTCGAAAAAAAATTTAGGGGGTTGAAAATTGAGGATTGAAATGTTAAGTCTTTAGTATAAGTCTAAGACGTATTATTAAGAAGCTTCTGATTCCAGTAACAACGCGTAAATTAAATTTAAAATTTGATTTGATTGATTAATTAAATTTATTCGGAAATACTTCGCAATCGTTGGATTTTGAAACTTCTAGTGTATTTTAAATAAACTTTAGGCTCGATTTTGGAGTAAAAAAACATTATAAAAATTATAGGAGTTACCCAAATTATGGTTTGAAACATTTACTTCCGGCTGCGCACCCTATTTTTTTTAATTTCAATATTTAAGGAAATCGAATTTTTTTGACAAAATATATTTAAAATGATCACTAGAGCTAAGAAATACTCATATTGTACTACTAATGCCATATCTCGCAAATCAGTCGACCTAGACAAGCGCCTAACGTCATACTCGATGCGACGTGTGTGTACATAAAAATACCTCTCTCCTTAATTAAAGCTCACCGGATTTTAAAACTTCTAGTGTATTTTAAACACACCTTATGTTATATTTTGGAGCACTAAAATCGAAAATAAAAATATCAAAAACTACTTAAATTTTGCTTTAAAATCCGGTTTTGCACCTCAACTCTTTTTTTCTTATTTCAAATTTGTTTTTTTATTATAGAGTACGGAAAGTGTCCTACACAAAATTCGTGTTTATACTAGGATGTAATACTTTTTAATTCGAAAAAAATACTTTGAAAAATTTCCATTTTCAAGTACGGCTATTCTTGAGCAAATTAACGTGCCACGAAACAAAAACGTGTTGTCTCTTTCATGCCTATTAGATGTACAAACAACACCCGAATTTTAAAACTTCAGTTTTTTTCGTTTTTTTTGTTATCGTTTAGAGCTTGCCGTTAAATTTACCAGCTAATTACAGCTACTTTAAGGACGCATGTCCCTTTTTTCAACTGCCTGTGTGGAGCAGTATCCGAAATCATTTTTGTCTCATTATTTCATGGTGTGTATAGCGTTGACTAAAATCGTTGTTTGTCCAAAAGTGCTTTTTTGTGCATTTTATATCAAAATTAAACTTTTATAGTAGGATTGGGCGGGTGATTACTTTTATTGTTATCACTTTTTCTGACTGAGAAAATATTGATTTTCTTGAAACTCCATTTTGTAGCTAATAGGGTATTCAAGAAAGGCAAAGATTTTTTGAAGAAAGTGAAAAAAGTAATCACACGCTTAATTTTTCCATAAAAGTGGAATATTCACATACAATTTTAGAGCTGTACTATATTTGTTTACGATTGAAGAAACAATGCACAAAAATGCATTTTTTGACAAAAAAGAAACTGATAACATTGTTTTTCAGTCATCCCTATACACACCATGAAACAATAAGACGAAAAGTAATAAGAATACTCCTCCTGACAAGCTGTTGGACATGCGACGTTAACTCGTATCTTTGTGAACATTTCAGCATCACTCTACAAATAAGATGAAGGTGTTAGTACGTAGTCATGCAATGCGTGAAGAGTCTCCACCTCCTTCACAACACGACAGCCCGCCCCATCACAAACAGCCCTGTATCAAGCTGATACCTTCACCTGAGCCAGGGGGAGGAACACCGGATGGGGGAGGTTTGTATAATTATTACAGAATGTTCAAGGGATAAATGCAAATTTCTCAAATATATCGGGTGGGCCATTAATCAAGGGAACAATGAAACATTTCTTAATTTAATCCCCCATCTTACACAATTCATTAGATCCATTACTTAAAAATTGCCGACTAATTGCCAATGACATAAATTTTGATTTCCGCGGGTCAATACTAAAATCCTGCCTTATGAGAGCTGAAAATCTGGCAACGTCGCCAGATGAGGGATCACCGGGTTACTATGCTGTCAACATTTGTTTGATCAGTCGTTCAAAATGTATTTAACCAAAAAAAAAATTTAATAAAATCCTTTCTGTATCTGCCCCGTAGATCATTACTTATTCTAAGATACGGTCTAGAAACTCATGAATATCATTTGTTCTTCTTAATCATTAGAGCTTTAGAATGTCTAAAGCAAGCCAATCAGCTCATCTCTTATTTCGAATCACTTTTAACCACTCATGTTTAATGATCAAAATAATTGTTAGACAAAAATTGCAATTAACCTTTCAAGAATTATAATCTTTTTACATACACAATACTTTTTCTTTTTATTTATTGTTCATGTCAGTGACAACTTTTATGTTCAGGTGGAGGCTGCGTGTCGCCAGTCGTGGTTCTGTCCCCATCTCCGTCACCTGCAGAATTGACGCAGCAACAGCAACAATGTCTGTCACCTGCAGGTACTCTTGTACCTTCATCACCAGCGTCGAGAGGTTCTCCAAACGGACACCTTCATCCAGCTGGTGTTGAAGAACACACCGACGAAAGTGAGGTAATGACAATAGTTCCCTATTAACTTTCAAGAATTGCTGAACATAAACATATCTAATAGACAACAGAATTATAGAACAACACAGAGGAATGTCCTGAATAAGCAAAAATAACTTTTTTATACCAGCGTGTTAAATGTGCTACCTCTCCGCACGCATTCCAATTTTTCGCGCTGATCGATGACTCGCTAATGGCCAGTGTCAAGACTCTCTCTCACCGATTAGCCATCGACGATTTAGCTGTATTCTATCGCTATGTCAACGGGATTTGCTCCTCAGAGCTCTCCTACATAATGCCATCGCGCGATGTGCCTGCCAGATAGACCCGTGTCGAATTTCGTACACCCAGAACTGGCCGATACGACCGCTCCTTTCTACCTAGGGTATCGAGATTGTGGAACAATATACCTGAGGAGGCTTTTCCTACTTCTACTAACCTTAGACAGTTTATAAATTGGATTAGCAAAGTTTCTTTAAGCTCCTCATAACAGTGCGGTGACTTGGTATTTGGGCGTCAACCTACCTTTCGATATATAAAAAACCAATAAATGGTAAAAAACAAAATACAATAAAATTGCCTCAATTGCCCAAGTCTCTTTGGTCTTTTAACTGATCCAAAAATCCGTCATTTCAATACCATCTATTAACAATAGTATTGTTAATAGCTTTTTTCTCAGTTGGCTTATAAAACCACTGTCTGCGAAAACCAAAATTAATAACTATAATAATAGTAATAATCTCCTAATTCCTGTCGGAGTCTTGTAAAGCAAAGTTTAAACTGTGATTTAGATACATGGCGTTCTCAAAAAAGATAATTTTGAATTGAGTTTTTGAGCATTGAATAAACCCATTTTTGGGACTTCTCAGACATTAAATCGCTTATATCTCGAAAATGATCAGCTTTAGAGAAAAGTTAATGTCAGCCTTTTTTGCTCAGAGTGATTAAAAAAAAAACTGAAAAAAATCGGCCGGGCAAACATTCTAATTCATTTAAAAAAATTGTTTAAATAAATGATTTGAGATCGTCAAGTATCTAAATTAAAGTTAAAACCTTAATCTACATGATCTTGGAGAGTATTTTGAGATTGTTTATTTTGAAGCGATTTCAACGTTATTTTTTTGGCAAAACTAGCGAACTTTTGGTTTTCACAGACTGCACTCCAATCAAGGACTGAGCAAAGTAAGTATCAAAATCTATTCCCTTCTCTTGAATATTTTAACGATTACACCCTGCTTACTATTTCGTGTCTAATTTATTACTCTAACACTAATTTATAACTTGCATTTAATTTACGATATTAAATTTATACCCATGTCGACTGGACTATGTTGTCGCGACGGTCGCAATTCGTTGACTGTCTTGATTGTGACTGACTGCTTCCGCCATCTGATCGGGCATTTATTCCCCATCGACGAGTCGAGAAACATTCCAGCGTGTTCGCGAACTTCCATGTGGTCTAGATGGCTGCAAGTGCTTCTGACGGGTCTAGATTATTCTTGACCTCGGCCAAGCCTGGGAGCGCTCACTCCCGATCGCGTAATACTGGTTGAATAGCGTCGGCATCGCATGGTCGATCCACGCCACTTAAGGTCCCACCTATACGAGGGCGTTACATTATTGTGTCATGGATTTACTAGCTTATGTTATGCATACAGCGTGCCCCACGTAGAACTGCTTCGATCGATTACTCGAAAACTTGACGATGGATAATTATGAAAATTTGGATATAATATTTTCAAAATGCTGACATTTCCGGTTGTACTGGAAATAGATACCAACTTCCTTACTTAAAATGGCACATACTGTATATCATTCAATTTTTGAAATCTAGGTAAGATTTTAAATACATTTTATTTATAGCGTACTATACCTAACCAGTCCTTTTTGAGAAATAACAAATGCAGGTCCATAAAAGCCTATGAGTTTTTCATATATATTTTTGTCTTTGTCGAACGATTTGTAACTGCTCCCTTACAGAAGGGGATCCACTTCAATGGACTTCTTTAGATATTTTGATAGTCAATAATATAGGTGTTCAAAAAAATCGAATGAAAATTGGACTGTAAAACATGCCAAAAGTCATTTTTTTCAGATGGAAACACCATGGTTCTATAATCTCATGTTAATGAATGAAAATAAGGATTTATTTGTAAAAGGTTATATACACCACAAATTAGTAATTTGGGAAATACTCGTTTTCTATCCCTCCTTACGCCTTTTTTATGGTCAGTTGGTTATGGCGCGGTGAATTATTAAAAATCAGTCATAATATATGACTTTTTCATATGTGGTTCATGTATTGCCCATAACAAAAGGGAAAAAAGGACAAAAGTTGTACCACCTCGGTTGTCCACGCGATATTGACTGCCAGAACGTCGCTCTGTCCGTTAAGTTATCTCGGGTGCCCAGAATTAGTTTACAAACAGTGCACACGTTACTAATTGGATGTTGCGCTATTTGCAAATATTAAATAAACTACCACTTTGTGAAGTAGATAACCTTATACCACTTTATCCTTAATTTTTTCGGTTAAGATGATGAGATTATGAAAATGGGGGGATTCCATTTAAAAAATAGACTACTGGGATTTTTTACAATTCAATTTTTGTACGATGTTTTTTGACCGCCCATTATTATTATGACAATATTGAATAAGACCCAGCAAAGTAGACTTCTTATACGGGAGCAGTTACAAATGGTTCGACAAAGACAAAAATATACGAAAAATTCGTAGACCTAAACTCTATCTAAGCAAGTGGTGTTTTACGATAGCCTAACAACCCAAAAAGCAACCAAATAATATTGGGTGATGGGCGTGAAAGCCTTTCGCATTTCATTTTTCATTATTTATCATGAACCTAATTGTATTGTCACTTAAATGTATCTGATTATTTTTTTACGTTCCAGATGTCGACCACGAAGTACGCGAACAACACCGCCACTAAACTGCCTCCTACGACCAACAATAACAGATACCACCACAACCAGCACTATAACCAGCACTACCATCAACAACAGTACCAGCAGCAGCAGCCACCGCCTCCTTTCTTCCCACCGAAACAATCTAGTCAACCCACGAATTATAGGGGCCCCAATACGGGAGGCGGGGGAACCAGGAAACCAGGCCACATCCCCTCGCACAACGCTTGTGATAATAACAATACCGTCACCGCAGTTAACAATAACAATAACGTCAGCGGAGGCGGTAATAACATGCTGACGGTACAGCGGGCACGGGGGAAGTTGAGGCAGCAGAGCTCGTCTCAAGGCAGTTTTGAGAGCTCTTACAATTCACCCTGCTTATCGCGAGGTAGGTACAAGGGGCACTAAAAAAGAAATATACCTACCCAAGAAAAAAATAATTGAAACTCACAAGCATAATATGTTATTTGCAAAAATTTTTGTTTTTGTAACTAGTTTCCAATTTATAAATTGAATTGTGAGGAAAAATGAGTAGGTACCTTAAAATTAGTGTGTCGCAGTGTTATACAATTATTGACAAAAGACGGCCATGATCCGAAAACAATTCTTGAGAGAATGGTTGCCGTCTATGGGGATGATGCAGCATCATATTACACTGATATTTTGGTCGAAACAGTTTCAACTAGGGCATGAATCCATAGAAGACGATCCTAAATGTGGAAGACACAAAACAGCAACATATCGGAAACCAGCGTAATAACCATCCTGCACGACAATTTGAACATAAGTAAGGTGTCAATTCCACGTCTATTAACACCTAGACAAAAAAAATTTTTTTTTAATAGTCGAGGATGGATAGTTCAAATTGCTGAAATTGAAGTGTCAAAGTGGCAGTTGGAAATTCCAAGATGGCATCTGAGCACTAAATGAATTTTTTTAAATGGAATGAGGGTTCATTTTGAAGCTACGTTTGAGTATTTTATAACCCTAGAACATAACGTTTTTTTTTCAAAATGGCGGGCATGCTAACTTCATCCGTTCAAAAAATAAGTCATTAGAAAAAAATTACGTTTCAAGGTCATCGTCAAATTAAAATATCTATAAAATCCTGTCGAGTTTGAATGAAATTTCATCCAGGCATGGATTTAGAGTTTCCCCTAGGATCTTAAGGTCATTTCAAGGTCAAGTCTTGTTTACTGAGACCTCATATTTTTGACACCAGACTTTTTGGATCCTGCATAAAGAAAATGATTATTTGTTTACAGATAGCAGTTCGGAACAGTATACAGATACGACTGGCATCGATCTGGAACAGTTCATTCCGGAAACGTTAAATAAAAATTCTAGAGATAGGGCGCTGATGCTACGCATTGAACAGGAACTAGTCAACTTAGCCAAAGATAAATTGTGAGTATATTTTACCCGTATCTTCTGCGTAAATTATATGCATTCCCATTTATACGGTATTAGGAAGTTTACTATAGTCGAAAACACGGCTAGTTTCGCTTACATATAATAGTATAAGTGTTATCTTTCGTAAATCTGAAAAAATCATACTGACAATTTTATATTTAAGAAAGTGTTACAGCTGACCGCCTTCGCGCGCTGAGGTTCGGTCGTGACGTCACATGACATAAGTTTGGCTTGTGGCTAACAGCACTGACGCGGTTGGACGATTCGACGGCCCTGCATATCGCATTTATCCTTAGCGCTCAAGCTGACCAGTCGCAGTACCTCATCTTTATATTTTGATAGACTGCATAGACTGCTATACGCGAAATTATACCTATACAATAAATAAAATGGACTGTTTTCTGTGGACTGATCTTCCAAAGGTGGACATAATAATGGTTAACGGTAAACAATATACTATGGGAAACATTTGTGCCTTGGCACGGATTAACATTTATAATTAAGCCCACATGCGTGGTTCAAAAGTCCTAAAATATGTTCAACATTAGAAGGATATGCTAAATTTTACAATAAAACTCAATTTTTATCTTTTCCAGATCACTGATAACGAATATGATATCAAAGATCGGCGGATTTAATATGGTATACCTCTTTGCTAATTCGCTCATAACGAAAAATCGAAATAGCGGTTTCAATGTGGCGACTATGTTTGCAAAAACTGTTTTTAACGCCCTCAAAACCAGGTTTCAAGTGTTTTCAAGATCGCTAATAATGAACTAAATATCGATTCTTACAAAATCTAAACGGCGGATCCAGTATGAGTGCTGTTTGCAAAAAAAATTTAAATTGCATTTAAATCACAATTTTATGAGCTTTCAATGTATAATTTATGTACTATATTATTCTATAATGTCGGATAATTACTAAACATGCAGTTAGCTGCAGCCAAAATTGACATATTTCTTAACTGGGTGTCTGATAAACCTGCTAGTATTTTAAATAGGGGATTTTTCTCTATTTATGAAAAAAGTATATCAATCAATATTGTTGTATAGTGTCATGTGTTGATTGGCAAGTAATACAATGCCATATCATAATAACTATACATATCTTCGACTCTACATTTGCCGTATCTCAATACAACTAATTATTTTAAAACGTGGACACTATTCGATATTCGCATTATCTCGATATAAAAGCAATAATCAAATCCATCCCCGTTCTCGTTTACACCAGTTAGGTTATTTATCTATCATAATAGGCACATACTCGTACACTAACATTTATTTTGATCCTTTTTACCGTATTAACTAAATATTAGCATCAAAATTTGCAGCAGTATGGTGATAAAGATATTTCCTAAAGAGACAAATTTAACGTCCCTGTTCATACCCTGCACCGCTTCCTTCTAATTATTCTACTTCACGTACTTAGACTATCATTTTAAGTGTTCCAAAAAATATGAAACTTCCTCCTTGCTATAGTTTCACGTAGCCAAACGACGAGGAGGAAAAGGGAAATAAAGCAGTAATGGTCGGATTGGTCTTGCTCTAGAAGCAAATGTATCTAAACCAGTCCTGCTGCGTAAGCTGTAGAAACTTAATCAATACGCGTTGTAGTAATTACAATCTTCAAAAATATCTTCGAAGATTGTTATTGTTTCGGCTACATAGCACCACAATACCTGTCCTATAAACAGTGAAAGATTTTCGGTTTTTAATAGATGAATAAAATACGTGTTTTTTTACAGTAAGACCCACTATAAATTTCCTCCTATGTGCTCCTACCAGCGTATGTTGATTCATCGATGTGCAGCATACTTCGGGATGGATCATAATATTGAAACTACCGGCGGTAAAAGTGTCATAGTGAACAAAACGAAGAACACTAGGATACCAGAGACTGAGTTCAAAGAACTGATTAGGGATGATATAATTTTGAACGATGAGCCCAGAAGATCGATATTAAAGAGAGATTCCAACAGTATTGAAGACTACAGGTATGTTAGATTCAGACATTGTGACGTGTCAAGGGTACTGCTTGCTTCAGAAGGAAATGCAGAATTCTTTTCTTCCTGGACGATTCCCTTTAAATTAATAACAGGATAACAGTGGTATAATAATTTGTACAATTAACACGTGGAGTGCAAAATTAGAAACTGACCCAACCTGCGTATCGAATCGCTAACCAATCTGAAAGTACCAGACACAAACCACATGGAAATTGACCACCAGCCAATTTTAATGAAAATTCGTATAATGATTGTTTCTTTTTCTGCTAAACCAATGTTCCAATGGACGCAAAACCCAGAAATGGATTGGAAATATAGGGTGTCAAAGATTGATGCTTTAACCTCTGTGGGTACGAATGCTTGCACCATTTTACGAAAATCATCTCTTCTTCAATGTACTCAAAGGAACATAACGATATAATAAAAATAACGTGAAGACATACATTATACAATATACCTATCTGCTTACGCCATTTTCCAAGTCGTGAAAACAACCCCGAAGTTTCAAAATCGGGTTAGACGACATGATAAAAATCGCGCTCATGCATAATTCATATTGCAAAAAGTACTTGCTGGCAATACATGAAAATAGCCCTATTGTCATTTCCTTATGCCCTTCGCAATACCTAAGTGTGGAGAACTCCTAGAAAAACAGTCAACATGGATTATTTCTATTAGAAAATCGAGGATATATCTTTTACTGGGTTACACGTACCTTATACCAATTTCAAACTGCCACCAATAAATGATTCAGAATCTTCAAACTCTAGAAACTTGAGTGACGCTTTGTGGAGAAAGGAATTCATGTTGTTTTCCATTATCATAATATTATATTTGGCCATTGTGTATTTGAAAACTCTTTTGATATAGCTTTAAATCACCGGACAGGTCGTGCAGTTCAGAAAATCGGAGAAGCAAGAGTTTCGAAGAAAGGGAGGAAGAATATGAAAAGGCGCGAAGACGGATATTCAACAGAGAGGTTCGCATATTATAGTTGCTTGTTACTCATTTGAAATTTTCAAAAGAAAACTTAGGATTACCTGCTTCAAATAAAAAAAAATGCTACACATTAGGCGTTACATACATACTACAGAATGCGGCAGCATAACTTTTTCAAAATTTAATAAAACCCATTGTATGAATGAGAGCATTTTTATTTGTTTTTTATAATATTGGCGCATGCATAAAGTTTTGTTTTACATAGTTTTAAAGATCTAATCAGATAGGTGCCGTTCCCCATTCTCCATACAATGTGTAAACAGATTTCTGGCGTTTGTCATGACTTTTGACACCGTAGGCGTTATATTCGCAAATTATTCCTGGATGTTGGCCTTGTGGGATCTTTGGACGGTTCACATAAACACGGGATTTCAAAAAATCCTATAGAAAAAAACAAGGGGCCAAAACTGGAAAGCTTGCCGACCACTCCAAATCGCTCCTTACTGAGATGAGGCTCTCTGTGAAGTATTTCCTTAAAACAGCGGTCGATGCTCTTGAAGTGTGTGCCGTTAACATATTTACATACCGTTTTAATTTCACTGTCACTGCGACTTCATTTTCCTCAAGGAGCCAGGGACCAATAATTCCAGCTGATGAAACTGCACGCCTCACTGTGACTTACGGTGAATGCAAAGCCCTTTGATGCATTTCGCGAGGATTGGTGTCAGCCCAGTGGCATATGTTTTTTGATGGATCCACACAAATAAAAAGAGGTTCCATCACTAAAAAGATCAATAGCGTCCTCAGGAAAGTTTTCGCGAAGACACTCACACGTCTTCATGCAAGAATTGAAGTCACTTTCAGAAAGTTCCTGCACAGTTACCATTTTTTAAGGAATGAAATGAAGATCATCATGCAGAATTCTCATCACAGAACGATCGGAAAGTCCAACGGCAGACGCAGTTATCCGTCTTGTCTAACTTGCAGTTTGTCTGAACGTTGTGACCCACGTAACAATTGATTTTCGGTCCGGAACAGGGGCCAACCGGGCTAAATTAAAGCGATTCCGAAAGGGTTGCGATGATAGAACATCCGCTCGAAATGTAGGCCTCAATAACAAAGCACGCTTTTCACTGTTCCAACGCATGATGGCGACTTGTGCGAATTGAGTCGGCACAAAACTTTATAGTCCCGCCTCTCGAATGAGACCACTAGCGCTCCGCTACATCAACCGATCGATTGGCGCGCATTTTAAAAAGGAAAGTATGCTGCCGCACCTTATAATGTAGGACGCTGTTGAATTGCTGCAGCCTGTCGTAGCTATTACGGCAAATACTTCAATGTCAATGCATCATTATTTTTATGTATAAAATTGTTATAACCTTTTAATTATGAACGGTTTTGCCCAATTAGCAAATGCACGATGGATCATCGGAAGATTTCGGTTGGTCCGAGATGCCATGGTCCAGTACTGAAAGTGAATATTCGTCAAGGTTCCGGCTTCACCCGCCAGACTATCATCGAAGACATTTTGGAAAGCTAATAAAGGTAAAATTATCTCAATGCACCTTAACCGAGTGGTTTGAATCTTGAATATTTGTGAAATGAAATAAAATACGTCCATTTTTTCATCTTAATATTTTATTGAAACTTAGAAATTATGCATTTATATTTGAAGACTAAACATTTCTTGTTAATTCATAATATTATTTAAATAAAATATAGCAAACAATCTCAAAGAAAGCCAATGACAACTTATGTTGCGGATACTTTACCTCAACAAAGTGACACTTTCACCGTACAAAAACAGGTGATACAAGTCAAATATACGGAATGTTAGCGGATGTGAGGAGTTAAAAAAACATACGTCTTATCAAACAGAGCGAAAAGAATGCGGCAAGACCAGCTGATCTGTCTTAAGAAACACGTGATTTGCAGACTCCCTTTCACTGGTTGAATCGGGAACTGCAACTTCAGAAAGTTAAAACTTCGTCTAGCGTCGGCGTTGCGGACGAACGTTGAGAAACTCTTGTTTATAAACAGTTTAACGTCCATAAAGAACAGTTCGCGAATAGAACTGCACTAACACACCCCTACGATGGTTGGCAGACGTTCAGGAAAATACACACATTATTGGCATGATACTGTCACGATTGTGACTTGGGAGTTACTTCTGCTCCTCACATAGTACTCTTGATTGCCGCTGCAAATGGCTGAAGATCATAAATCACAGAAGTACTCATAGATAAATTATATTGAACATAAAAATATAAAAGACGATACTTACTCTAGTTGGTACTGAAGAGCGCAGCTGGTCTCCGCACAGGTTAGAATGACAAGAGAGACCCCCAAGAGGGACTGCCCCCAGAGCGTGAATGCCTTCACGTATCAGCCCAAGTAGTTTTCATAATCAATAATATCCTTCGACTGATAAGAATACACCATTGTTGGTTATACAAACTCACCAACCGATATCTGTTCGTAAATTAGCGAGCTGGCGCGTGTAAAGCGTTACAGGGTGGTCACTCGTGACAATACTACAAGGAGTATACACAATTTTACATACTTTTGGACTTTAGGAGAAAAAGCAATTACATTCTTTTATAAAAATATAAATATCACTAACTTAAGAAAGCCGTAAACTAAAGCCGTGTTGACAAGCGTCAAATAATTTGAGTGTTCGATGATGGCTTGTGTTCAACTCACACGTTTAACACGCAATCTCCGTTGACATTCCACTCTTGACGCTTAAAGCTCTCATGAAAATACGCTTATGATAATTGTTGTTAGAGGACACTATAATATTTTATTAGTAAAATGTATCAAACATATACTAAGTGACATATAAATCCGAACACCCAGTTTAAATGGTTTTATTTTAATAAACGTTGGTGAATGTATTTATCTTACTGTAAATAACAAGTGAAAAAATTTTCAGCCTTATCAGTTGGACATTCCGGTTTTTATACTGCTTTTTTTTAATTCACTAACGCTCTAAAAATGAATATTTCAGCCGCAGTAAAGAATCAACGTTGGCGAATTTTGGTTCTTGACATCCTTTACGATCGGTTACGATGCCTAGAGTACGGAGACCTGTACGATTTCGTCAACTTAGTGAGTTTGATAGGGGCCGTATAGTGGGACTTCGGGTCACCTTTAATCTTCATCAGAGGTAACATGAACGCGCAGCGTTATATCCACGAAGTTCTAGAACCCCATCTTTTACCCTATCTTGACACCCTGGCAGATCCAACTTTCCAACAAGATAATGCCCGACCACATGTTGCAAGAGTCACAATAGACTTCTTTCAACATAGTGATGTCACATTGTTACCATGGCCACCAAGATCTCCCGACTTATCCCCAATTGAGCACGTGTGGGATATGATGGGTAGGAGATTGCTCAATTTGCAACGTCCTCCTCAGACTCTAGAAGCACTTCGAGAGAAGTTGGTGGTTGCCTGGAATGAGATACCACAGGAGGACATTGACCACCTGATCAGAAGCATGCCTAGGCGCGTTGGAGAATGCGTAGCACATCAGGGTGCATCCACACATTATTAAAGGTCAAAGGGCTTTAAAGCAGTGCAATCATTTTGAAATTTTTATCATTTACTTATTATGCTTCATTAAGTACTTATACAAAATTTTATTAAAATAAAACCATTTAAACTGGGTGTTCGGATTTATATGTCACTTAGTATACTTCGCATTTGAGTAATTTCACATCATATCTAGATCTTCTGTACAAATCGATTAACTTCTGAAAGTTTGCGGCTACACTATTATTTTTTTTCGGGAACATAATAATACGATTTACTTTCTGATTCGCAGGTGCACTCTGAAGATACGGCGGAAACGTTGAGGCCATACGTAGCAAAAAGCTATAGTTTTGGTGGATATGGTGGAAGTATATCAGTGCTAAGCAGAGGTGATAGTGTTATGTCAACACATAGCGCTGGACCTAGACTGCTCACAAAACAAGGTGGTTAAATATGTGCAATATATTTTTAGAAAGAACTTATTATAGCAAAACAAATTAGTCAGTAATAGAATGGGAAAATAGGAATATACACGGTGTGCTCAAAGTTGGGACTTTACAGAGCATATGCAGTAGCGGACAGAAGTTTGGAAACATTCTTAATAATTTTTAAAAAGTGCGCTAATTTTTTATTCTTTATTATTAAGGGGTATTTTTTCTCATATAGTTTGCTTACAGTCTTGAGGACATAAATGACAATTTGTGTTTGCTGTGGTACTACAGACTAGCATTAAAATACCTTCATATTATTTTATGATAAAAAATGAGGCGACAAAAGTATGGAAACATATTTTTTATTACAAAATTAAATACAATAACTTTTATTTATTAAAAAAATACTGTTTAGCTAATATTTGGTAGCATAACCTTTAGCATTTAGAAGACGTCTGTTGGGATATTTTGCCAAATATTTTTTACATTATTTTTAAAAGTTTTTCTTGTCAGTTGTCTTTTAACATGCTCCCAAAGATGTTATATAGGGTTTAGGTCCGAGAATTGCGAAGGCCATGTAAGAACACTAACATTTTTAAATGAGAGGCTTTTGCACTGGACGCCTACCAACAAGCCCAAAATTCACCAAGCGTCTCTGCACTGTTCTGACAGAACGACTCTCGGCTCCCTCTTATATGATTCTTTTGAAAATCTGTGTGGCTAGTATTCGACCATCTTCATGGGACAAACGTTTAATGTAGCGATCCAGAACATTATCTTTTTTTCGGGCTTTCACACCTGGACCGCGTTGCTGTTGATCCGTATTCTTGATATTTACTAATAATTTTCGAAATCGTCCCTTTGTTCATTTTTAATCTTTGAGAAATGTCAATATTTCTGACACCACTTCTAAATAATTCAATTACTTTGTCTCTTAAATCTTTAGAAAAGTCTTTTATTTTTGACATTCTCACTGATGTTAATATTTACCGCACTCAGTATCAGAGTATCCCAGAACGAATAAATACGGCAAAACTAAAATGTTTCCATATGCGTTTTTATTTTCAGAGAATTTTAATAATGATTGATTGTATTAGTTAGTACGGGGGCCAAAGGTAGACTTTAATATTTATATTATCTGTTCCTTCACAATTTTAAATTAGGTATACATGTTCATAAGAATGTTAATATTTGTTTCCAAACTTTTGTCCGCTACTGTATATTGACCAAATTGAACAAATCGCCTTTAAGTACAAGAACAGTGCATTTAAATAATTGTAAGATTCGTATTAGGAATTTTTTATATACAAAATGCATTTTAATAAATTGTCGATTTTCTAGATACTGGTTTTAACATATTGCGATTGTTCAAAACTTTTAATTGTGATGTATCATGTAAGTGGTTCCATGCTATTTTATGATTTTTTTTAAATCTATGTTATGGAGATTTTTTGTATTGTCGTAAATAAATGAAATGAAAAACATTTTATGCTTAATTCCAGATTCTGCCGCCAGTTCAGTATCGTGGCGTCTGAGTCCCAGCAGTTCCGGTTACAAATCTCAATCACAAATGTCTGAGTCGGTGACGCCTTCCCCCACATCGACGCCCCACCAAGGGGCAGGGCCTCAGATCGGTGTAGGGGCGGGACCTCCGCAACCACAAATGTTGGAGGGAGAAGAGGTACCAGCGGCGTTGAGAAAGTGTGGACATCGTGACAGCCATATTGTGTGGGCGGTCACTGATATACATAATGTCCCCTTAGGAAGCCTTATCATCGATCCGGAGGTTAGTCTAATCCTAACCAATGAATTCATTGTTAGTGACATAATATATTCTTGAGCATTGATTTTCAAAGTAGAGGCTGCGCCTTCCTTGGGCGAATGAAACAAAACCAAATTTAACATAACTGGTTACAAGTCCAATTTTTTGCTTATTTCGTGCTCAATTGTCAACATTGCAAGTCCGTTTAGACAATTTTGTGATTCTAGTGAGGTTTGTGGGGATGATCCAAAGGTGACCTTGACCGTGACCTTTAAAATTTATAAAGAAAAACCCTCCTTATTTTTGCTGGAAATGGAAAAAGCAGGTATCTTATGCCCGAATATGATCTTACTTCCAAGTTAAGGTCATCGCAAGCTTAAATATTATTTTAGGTCAAGGTCACAGATTTTCTGATTTTTCCATTTCCAGTATAAAAATGAGAGGTTTCCTATCGAGGTTTTGACTCGATCTTGAATGTCCTGTTAAGGTTACCTTTGGGTGATCTCGAAAAGCTCACAACTCTGCTGTTGAACATCTTTCACTAGGACAAATTGGTTTCGATGACATGATTTGACTTTGAAATTTTAAGATTATAGCAAAGCTGATGTTTGAAAAATTTGCTCCTATTTACTATTCCGATGTTTGAAAATATCCACTTGACCTTAGAGGTCACAGTCAAGGTCATGGTCAAGGCCACGATCATGTTGCCCCGCTCCCAAAACCCTACAACTTTCAAATGAAACTTTTTTCTAGAATGTACAGTTTGTGAAATATTCAAGTAGGGAGATTAAAATGGAACACCCTGAATAGGGTTTTTACATAATAACCCTGCCGCCTCTGTCAGTTACTTTACGTATTATATCATATTATGTCTACTTATGTGCTAAAATTTCAGTTTATTTTCTTTGCAGACAGGAAAACCATTAAAGAACGATGATGGTTCTGCTTACCACTACGATCCTAACAACCTGCCGCCGTTATTAGTACATAATCCGTCAAAACCTGAGTCTTCACAAGCGCCGCCATCCTCACCGCCTAAACAGTCGACCAATGAAAATCCCACACCTTCGCCTAAAAAGAACAGACAAATTAAATCATCTCCTACGAGAAGGAGCACAGTAACTAACAGGTATCTAGAGCATAACTCATTTTATTGGGTGCCGCAGCGCTTAATATGATGCCAGTCTTATATTAAATCAAATCTGATCATAGATGGTGACAAATAATGAAAGGCTAAGTTACGCGATTACCTGAACTAGCAGAAAAAAGTTAATTATCGCTTGAAATGTCTTTTTATGTAGAATCAGAAATACAATACCATAGCCAGATTTCTAATTTGTTGTCTGATCATTGGCGTACCCAGCTCGAAACGGAAGGAGATGCAGCTTCCAAAAAATGTTTGTTGGGAGTTCCACAAAGCATATCTACTTTACTGTGCTTGGTATTTTTTACAGGATGGCTGATATGTAACTGACTGGTTTGTATCTTGAATATTTGTGAAATGAAATAAAATACGTCCATTTTTTTCATCTTAATCTTTTATTGAAACTTAGAAATTATGTATGAAAAATAATATCAGACAAATGTCCGCCTCTAGAAGCCGCGCCCTTTTGATTACATTTTCCATCACTTTTGGTGGGTTTCGGGAGGAATATTTTCAATCGCTTCCGTAATATTGTTCTTCAGCTGCTCCACATTATTTGGTTAGTTGGAATAATTCTATTTTTCAAAAATCCCTATAAAAAAATTTCGCGCCAACTGACGAATGGTGCTGACACTGGGCACATTATTTCGACCGAAATCTTGTCGTAGCTTTCGAATCGTTGCAAAAATCGACTCATTATTTAAGTAAAACGTTTTAACAATACGGTCGCGTTGTCGGATCGTATAGCGCTCTATTATGAATTGGACTCATCTGCTTTAAACAACTACTACGGCGCTACCTACTGAAATGCATCTATCAAAAATGGCGCGCAATTTAAATCAGTCAGTTATATATTGGTCACCATGTATATGAATTTCATTGTCTTATCCTTTAATACAGTCTTTCACGATGATCTGAGAATTCATATGGTTATGAAAAACTACTAGAATTACTTTTTTTCAAATTTTATGTTCCTAGTTCTAAAATTCATTTCTGAGTGGTATGATTTTACAGGGTGCTCATTTTGTCGATAAAGTTAGTAGGCCAGGGAACTATTGTAAGCGTGAAAAAAAATATATAACTTTTGCGGTGTTAGGTGATCCTTGGCGCGAATCGTCAAGAAGGTAAAATTTCACCACTTAAAATTAATTTAACGGTGATTTGCCTAAACATGATGCTTTCGTCCGTCTGACCACCATGGACCGCTGTTTTGTGCTTCCTGACTACTCATCAGCATGGTCTTGGGACAACGAACGAAAGCATTGCAACTATCCGTCATCCAGGAGGTACCGTCCATCGAAATAAGACAGTCTTATTTCGATATGATTTGCCTTTTTTAGATATAATTCCGCAACGTGACTTTCCGAAGTCTGGAAAGGAGATGAGGGTTGCCACCGCCCTTCAGCAATTCCAGCACCCTGTGCCGCTCGCGCAGGATCATGGGACTAGGACTCGGGCTGCACGCCCAAATTGTCTTCGGTGACAGTGAAGCCCTCTGACCTGGCAGGGCCTCGACAAAATCGCTGACTACCGCGCCCAGCCCAGGATTCGGTTCGCTATGCTCAAGTTTCAAATCCTCGGCTGGGAAAACGAGATCCAAAGTAGGATCGCCTCAGGCACAATATATCCCTGGTATATTCCCTAAAGCAAATATAATTACCGCGCTTAGCACCGTGCTATATGTCGGCTCTGGGATTACGCTGAGCAGTTCACCGCTGCTGATTACAAAGAGAAATGCCTCTTGATGCCCATTCTCCTACTTGTGATGAGTAAAATCCATAGTTCAGTCGAACTAAGATTTTGTGTGAAAATTATGCCGTTGTAATGTCACAAAACTTATTTGATCAGGCTTACTAGCCAAGATAAGATTTTGCAACGTAATTATATATTCTTTAGAGAAAATGCAAAAGTCCCTCATCTACAAATAAAAAGTGCCAGATATCTTTTTTAATAAACTACAAAGTTGAGCTGCTTAACATCCAGAAAGATTCATTCAAAGATGTTCAACCATTTTTTGCAATTTTCTAATTCAATTTAGATCAATTAAATGGGCCCATATTGGTCTTATTCTCTTGCTTAGTTTGACATATTACTAAAAGAGTATATTTTTGCCGTCATCTTTTGTCAGTCGCAATTACCGAAACCGAAAAGATAAAGCAAATACACATTTTGACGGAAAAGGGTTCTTTTTGGGCGCTTGGGACCCGAATTACCATTTTTTCTCGAAGAAGCCACCGTCAAAATTTCATCCAAATCCGAGCGGCACTTCTCAAGTTATAGGCGATTGTAAGATTAGCTGGCAGATCGACGGAAATGAGTGACATTTTTTTCGTAATGTATATGTCATATAACATCCAAATAATAGTTTTGTTCCAACCAATCGGTGAACCGTTCTATAACGGTAAGGCGCATGCGCATTTAGGAAAAACTGTTCTAAGTATTCGGTACCGTAAAGGAATGGTTCTGCATTTCGTTCCAAGCACTGTTGGAATCGTTCCGGACCGGTTTTGTTACACTAAACTTGGTACCTGCATTGAAAGGGGAATTAAAGGAACTGACCTGCGCAGTAGGGGTTTCAGGTCATTGCTGCTAACCTGTAACCAAATTGTAACCATGCTCTGATAGCCTGTGTATTTTCTTTTAAAAGATAATTTATTGATATTGTCCAGCTTTGATTCTGATGACTAGTGACGAAGGAGCTATCTTTCACTTTCTAGTAACAAAAACAATTCCAAAATTGTTTCAACCACCTTCTAGCCCAGAAACAATTCTGGAATCATGGCCAGTCAGCGCATGCGTACTAATTGATAACCGGATGGTTCTGGTACGATACCGAAACTCAAGGTTGGAACAAATCTAAAATTTCACTTTTGAAATTTTCCGCAAGTAGGCATGGGAAGTAAAAGGTAAAGCGGTCATTTGTCTTCTGCTATCCACTATTTCTATCTCAGTATATCTAAATATACTTCGTTGAACAGTGTTATTTCCAGTTCTACGAGTCCGAGCCTGCCGTTCACGCCACCTCCCCAACAAGTGGTTGCGCAAACGCCCAGTATACCGCCACCTCTACAAAGGTCCTTCGGTTACGCGGACCAACAGCAGCAACAGCTTACGGGCGGAGGGTATACCACCGCTTACGCTGCCCCGCCCATGGAGAACGGAGTTTACGCGCAGTCTTACGTGGTTTACGCTCCGTCGCCCTATGGGATGCATATGGCAGCTCAGTATGATGCTAGGATGGTAAGTTTAATTTTTAATAGAGGCTCATTACATGCATAAAAGTTTTACCGATTACTAAAAATATAGATTTCTAGTAATTAACTGGATTTGGGATCTGAAGGAACATAGTTTCATGTTACAAAGTTGCAAACGTTTCGGAATAATTTGACTCCTTCCTCAGAGATGTATAAAAATTCAATCAAACAACTTTACATATACATTAGTTAACAATTTAAATAATGAAATCGATGTAAAAGATACTCATTTCTGTCAAGACATTATATAATAATAATAATCTATATTCCAAATTGTACAATGACATTACAAAAATTGTAAAGCCACTACAAAATGAAATGTTGCGTCACTATCACCATAACTATAGTATTTTACCTGAGACCTTTTTTTGTGTTACATGGTTATTTATCTTAAAACAGCTACTATCTTATACTATTACAACTCCCATAGAACTCATCTATTTTATAAGGCTCCGACTATACTAGAAATTGCTTAATAGTCTTTTTAAATTTATGTAAACTGTTTATGTTTTTAATTTCATTTTGGTAGATTGTTAAAACATTTTAAACACATGCAAATAGGGCTTTTTTCTGTGGATGATAATCTCTTTTTTGAACAACAAAATTTTTTTGAATAAACCTATTGCGTCCCCAAAAAATAATCCCATACTTTAGAACACTTTCAAAATTAGCATGGTACAATATTTTCATACCATAGCAAATGGAATTGAGCCTCTTCAGCAGTTCGAATACATGTGTTGTCCAATCTAAAAATTCATCAATATAGATGCCTAAGAATTTTACACTTTGACTCAACTGCAGTTGATGATCATCTATATCGATATATTGTGGCTTAACGACTTTACTCTGCTTAGTTCTAAATAATGTTGCATCAGTTTTGGATTTATTCAGCACTAGTTTGTTCACAGAAAACCATGTATTCACACTTCTGAATAAGAGATTCCCATTAGCAGTTAGGTCCTCTACACTTGTCCCACCCAACACTAAATTTGTGTCATCAGCATAACAGATAATGCTTGCTCTGATCACCACTAGTAACAAAACAGAGATCGTTTAAAAAAACTACAAACAAAATGGGCCCAAGTATACTGCCCTGTGATATGCCGGTTGAAGTCAACTCAATGTTTGACTTGTAAGTTTGACCCCCTTTAACAATTTCAGCCCTCTGTTGTCTATTATAGAGGTATGACTTGAACAATTCTAGCGCAGTTCCTCTTACACCATATCTTTGTAGCTTTAATAACAATATGTCTCTGTTGATGCAATCATAAGCAACCATATAAAATGACTATCAAAAACATTTTCCCGAATTTCATTATCAACATAGCAATTCCCAACATATTAATAGATATAAAAAAATTGTTGCGGAATTTGAATAGATATTCAGAACGAATATCAAAAGTTTTTTTGTGTTTTATTATCAGAGAACCGGAAATTATAGCGAACTTACCCTTTTAATTTGAAACTGTTTGTCAAATAATAATCTAACGTTATGCATATATACAGGTTGTGTAGGGAAATATTACGCATTAGGATAAAGAAAGGCAACGTTGTCTACTTCTCAGGTGACGGGCCCACACTCGACCGCCGCACAGTGGTTCAGACGGCGCGAAATAGTAACCAAGTATAAATATTATATTTCTCTTTACTTTCTGCTAAAATATTTTTTTAAACCCAAAATTACCCATTTGCACCATTTTCTTTTTCCTTGCATTATTTCATCTCTCATTTATTCAACTTCAAAACAAAAAAATATTTTTTATCAATTTTCATCATGTTTTGTTATTATTTAGGCGTGCCCTATGACGGAAGTGTGAACAGAGAAGGCTCTGACCTATTAAGTTCAATATAGTTGACGTTTGGAAAAACAAATGAATTTGAAAGGAACGTTAACAGTCGCTTTGCGCTATCGTGGCATATTTTTTAATAAATCCGTGCAATTTTTTCAGAAGTTTGACACTAATGGGTTCCGATAAAAAAGTGCAGGAATTTCCTTGCTTCAAAAACAAGTTTAAAATATGCGTTTGAGATACCTCAACAAAAAAAAAAAAGAAAAAACTAGCTGCAAGTATTTGCAACTTTTGTAGACGAATTTTTAGAGCTTAGTGCGCGACAGAATCCAACCATAATGAAAAATATACTTATCTAACGAGTGATATTTGAACAAAACCAAAAACAGAGGTTAACTGTTAAAAGTTATATTTTTTACACCACAAAAACATCTAGAAACATTACACAAACATATGACGAATGTTATAAAAAATGTGGAAATCAGATGGAAACCTTGTCATAGAGATGAGAATTTTTTTATAAAGAAAAATGAGGCTTGGTTGAACCAAGAATTTCCGCCTTCCAAGAAAACCGTTGTTACTTCAGAGCAAGAATCAACAAGAACCTTTGGAAGGCCAGTGACAAATTTTCAGAGAATTGGTAAAAAGAGTAAGCCAATGAGGATTCGTTCATTAGTTTCTAGCCGTTCAACCAGCTTTTTGTGAAGTTCTGAGCATTTTGATTTAGGGTCCCCACAACTTGCATTGATGCAGAATTTCTCGATAACTGCTCACCATACTCTATTTAAACAGTAAAAAACGACACTGAGAAAAAGTTATGGCCATTTAATACAATCCTAAGTGCAGTGTGAAGCGCCCTCTACCGACCACAATGAAAAAAAATTCGGTATTCTGGTTTCGTATCGCAAAAAACTCTCGGATACCAATTTTTGAAGTAATACGTTCTAACTTGACTACCCTGTATTTCGGAATCGGAGCAATTTTGGACTAAGGTAAGTTACTTCAAATGGGCTCATTTTGAACTCGGTAATATGTGCTGGACTTTTGTAAAGACCTTTTAAGGACGTATAGTGCCGCCATCTTCAATTTTTGACATTTCTCAATTTTTGATACAATTTTTTTTAAAGATAATTTCTTTATCTTTCTAATGAGGTACGGTTCATAAAAATCGGTTTACCACTAATAAAATTAGAAATGTTGATACTCTCTTCGCGAAAATGGTGCCCTCTGAACCACTGTGCGCCGGCGCCGACCGAGCTGCAGCAGCCTGCTGGATATCGCGTGGTTGCCGCTTTTCTAGATTTTTAGACCTCGCACTAAGTTCATTGAATACACAACCTGTATATCCTTGGTCCGTCAAAAAGAACGTATGTTTTTCAAATGGATACTACATCGAGTGGGCTGGTCCCGTGTCGGTGGGGAAGGGCGTTGAATAGTTGAAGTGCCGTTTCAGTTGACAAGATGGTTTGGAACGTTGAGCATCGTGTGTTCACTGTACCTTGGTACTTTCAAAATGGCGAGTCTGTCGTTCGAATGCAACGTGACTTTCGCCTTCACTTTCGTGTTCCACGTCGTGGGACAGTACCAGACCGTGACACCATTTTGAGATGGATGGAAGCATTCAACACAATAGGTAATGTGATGAAGAAAAAACAGCCAGGGCGAAACCGTACTGTTAGAACCCCCGAAAACGTAGACAGAGTGAGAGTTGACACGCTGCAAAGCCCGAGTTCCCTAGGGATCCACTCGTCCTCTGTACATCGCATCTTGAAGAAGGATTTAGTGTTCCATCCTTACAAATTCCAAGTTTGTCAACAACTGTTGCCAGGGGATTATGCACAATGTGCTAATTTTGAATAGTTTATTTTCATTCACATGGATACGACAATAAACAAAATTGTCGATATTGGTCTGCAGTGAACCCCAACAGTTGCATGAGCACCCCCTGCATACCCCGAAAGTTACAGTTTGGTGTGCAGTAGGCCCAACGATGGGCGCCATATGGCCGACATAGTTTTTAGAACGTAAATTTTGTTTTACTCAAAAAATGGCATGTATTTCTGAGCATTATTTTGATATGAGAAAATATTTTCCTATACTTATTTTGACAGTACTACTTATTTAAAAAACATGCGTTCTTTTTGACGAACCCTGTATAAGATATATAAGATACAATTAGGACTGCAACTTATCAGTATGACAATGAAAGACTGGTTAGATTATTATTTGACGACCACAGTTTCTAACTAAAAAGATGACTTCGCTGTAATTTCTTTTTCGCTGATAATAAAACATAAAAAAACTTCCATTTTGAATGTCAATCTAAATTACGAATAATTTTATCTTTTTTATGTGTGTTTAGATAAGGGTTATTAGAATAATAATTTCTCATAAAAAATATAATCCACCTTTTATTTCACAAAATCAAAAATAAGTTATTGCGCCCACTTCGATGAGCCAGGGGGGGAGTGCAGGTGTAAACAAAGCTATATGATTTGCAAGATCACACGTTCAAAGCGCGATAAGGTGGCGAAGCATAGGACCGGTATACGAGGTCGTATTCGAAAGTACGAACATTTCAGTTTTGAATTCTGTTCCGTGCGGATTTATAAAAAAGGACACGGCAATTTTTCAAGAGGGCCCTCATCATATAAATCAAGTAATAATTTGTTAGGTTAATTTTTTGTATTTGGTACAGCAAAACAGAATCATGTAGCTTTGAATCCTCGTCTTGTTTTTCGTTTAGGGAGAGAAATGCTACTTTTTCAATAAGGTATTGCGATCAATAATGACGATTTCTAGTTTGTTCGTACAACAGTCGACAACTTGTCTGGGACTGTCAAAATCAGAATTAGAGAGATGTTACCTGTTCGTACAGTTTCTGATTGTTGCCGACAGCTAGTCCGCTGTTCGTACAGAACCTTCTGGCAGTTCAGAGAACGCCAGTCAATCAGTCACTGTGACAGCTATCAGGATGAGTCGAAACTATCTTGAGGACTAATATTGCTTCGCAAAGGAATTTAGTGATCGATGACTCTTCTCTAACGGACATTCTGGGGACACTTTCGCACCGGTGGACCGTCGGCGATCTAGCTTCTTTCTACCGCTAAGCTAAATAAAGGTGTCGAACCTTGTACATCTAGAACTGACCGATACGACCGCTCATATGTCCCTAATGTATCGAGATTGTGGGGGG